AGTTACATGACCAAGAATGTTGGATGATCTGATTTGTTATTAGATACATAATAATTTATATGTTACAGTTAGTTAATTATAATTGTACTTGTTACTATGGCAGTTATTGTGTCTATCATAATCATGCTTCCCTTCCAAAATGAGGGTGGTAAGTAGAATTTTCGCTTCCATGATCCATAGTAGTGTCACCTTTGTTTGGAAAAGGGGAGCAAAACAGAGCAATTAATGAAGTAGATAGTCTCCAAATTTGTTTTGGAGGCATACTGATTGTTTCTTAATTCCATTAATGTATTGTAAAATATATGCATTCAAGAATAGATACTGATTGTAATCTGACAAGATATTCAAAATAAAGAATAACAAAAATCATCTGTCTCTCTAGTTGCAGTTGCTCTGACAAAATATTCAAAAGAAATTTCATGCTGCAAGCTTCTCATTGCTGTTCTTTTTGAGCTTTTCTAGGCCTTTGGGTGGATTCCTTCCGTTCGGACCACAAGTCGGTTGGTTATAATGGATTTGCTGGTTCAGGGCTTGCTCTTTTGATGTCTTTTTTTAATATTTAGATTTTGTCTAGACTTTGTTTAGGATTTTTGTTGCTAACTGCTTGTTGAGCAGTGATTCCTTTGTAATTGAATAGAAGAGTCTTTGTCAATTAGACTAAAGACTTACTGTGACATTATCAGTGACAGAGAAATAAAACTTGCTTTCAAAAAAAAAAATCATTTGCCTCTTAAATGTGACGACTACTCCCTCGATCAGTTTTTAAAATTTAAAAATCATATACTACTATTTGTTCCTTAGCTCTGAACCTCTCAATTAATATGTTCTTCAACTTTAATCTTCGCTATTGAACCAGTAGGATAGGTAAAGAGACTATCCAAGTCTTGATCAAGTATTAGATTAATTATCAAAATTAACATTTCCACTGTGTTTTGATCAATGAAAATCTTGACTTATTCAAAAAAAAAAAAAACATTTCCACTGTGTTTAATTGTTGGTAAACTTTGCTAATATATATCTTGACACGAGACTATATAAACAGCATGTCCTCCAACTTATCGAAATTAATTTTTTCCATTTCATATATAAAAAATAATCATATTAATTAGTGATTAATATATTTAATATAAGAACATTTTAGCTAATGTCTTTAAGATATTCGTTAGAAAACCCTTCAATAATGCATCAAAACAATCCAATTCGAATTTAGTATTTTCGTGACACACTTTCAATGCATGAGTGGGATGTGGTTTTAAGGTTCTTCCTCTGTTAAGAGGCAATAATTGTACTAGTGCTGAGCAAAATAATCATACCAGCTAATGAGACGAAATCGACAGATAAGGGAAATTTGTCGCATGGGCAATAGATACAAATCTCTCCAGTACCTCCACCTTGATCTTATATCAAGGAAAGGAAAAATGAAATGCTCCTAACAAGTCATTTGGGTATCTTGCCAGGCTGTTGAACTTGTTTTTTGACACCAAAAAACAAAACTAGGCCGGTTCCAAAGGAACACAGCAGTGGCACAGTTTTCAGCAGCTAAAGCAGAACAATGAAACAGAACTTTGCGTTAATTATCCCAAGTTTCATGCTCGAACCTTAATTCATTCCCATTAGCTGGTATACAAGGGTTTATACTGGTAACTACACCGAACAAGTGGTTTAAGTTAGCCATAAGGGTTTCTACTCCACAGAGTCTTATCACACCAGCGATAGGTTTAAAGCAACAAGTATAATGACTAATAAACTGGGAAATAAGTTCCCTATTCAGTGAGAATTAAATTTTGTTCGTAATTACAACTCTAAGGCCCTGCCAGAATCCGTTTTTCTGGCAGTGTTTTCCCTTTATTGTCAACTAATGAAAGTCGAAACATGATCAACTAAGCTAAATATTTTAGGACACCCACTGCCTACTGGCTATGTGAGGGTATCGTCCGTTATCAACAATATCTGCACAAAAAATGGTTCATACAGGTGGCATGAGTTATGCCACGCAGCCTCTTGTGATGCTAAAGCTTCTTAATCAGCCAAATTGACGCCAGATTAATGAAGTTAGTTTTATGAGAGCGATAACGGGCTTTTGTTGGAGTTAGGCCTGCTTGCAATACTCCTTACTGTGGGAAATTAGTTTTTAATTTGGAGAAGTAGTGTTATGTGTTAATTACATGTTTTTCACTTAGAGGTTATTTGATTTTTTTAATTTGGTGGTTATTTAGTTTTTCATATTGATTATATTTTGACAATTAATGCAAATACAAAAGACAACCCACAAACCTAGTGGCATGACAATCCCAAGTAGTAATAAGGCTATAAAAGCTATTATCCTTGTTAATGAAAATGTGTGATTATCTTCCTCCTTTAGTTTAGCACTTAACAATCTCTTAAGTTTCTAATATAGTATCAGAGCTGTTATCTTAAGAGATTGTGTTGGTGTAAAATTACTTTAAAAATCTTAATTAGCTTTTCTTCTTTACCCTTTACTGTCTATTTTCAAAATACCAAGAAAATGGATTTTGCAAATTTCAATGCTATTACTCCACCCAATTTTATGGGAGAAAACTACCCAATCTGGACAATAAAAATAAAGGTGTATCTTTGTGCATTTGATCTTTGAGAAATCATTGAAGTTGGTGGAAAGCCTCCTGAGATGAGGCAATTAAACTCAACAATCACACAATTAAAGTAACATAGTAAAAAAATTAAAAAAAGGTATAAAGCTTTATTTTATATTCATTCTACTGTTTCCAACTTGATTTCTACTCATATAGTGGATTGTGAGTATGCCAAAGAAGTATGGAATAGATTGAAGGTTGACTTTCATGGCAATAATAGGACTCATCAAATACAAGTCCTAAATCTGCTTATGGAGTTTGAAGTATTAAAGATGAAGAATGAAGAAAGTGTGAAAGACTACTTAGAGAAGGTTTTGAGAATAATCAATCAGTTGAAATTACTTGAGGAAAATTTACCATAGAAAAGAATCGTCAACAAATTCCTTGTAAGCCTACTAGAGAAGCCAAGATATCTTTTTTGGAAGACTTGAAGGATATGTTAGCATTGACCATGACCGAACTCATAAATGCTCTTCAAGCGCAATAGCAAAGAAAGGCTTTAAGACAAGAAGATCATGTAGAAAATGGTTTACTAGCATGAGCAAATGAGAAGAAAAATGGTACGAAGAAACAGGGTAAGCAAAAGGCTTGATACGCTCCCTATTCTTATTGTAAAAAATGCAACCATACTAAGTGTTTTTGGTAGTACAAACCAAATGTTACTTGTAGGTCTTGTAACTAGTTTGGTCATGTGGAGAAAACCTGCAAGAACAAAGCCGATCAAGGAGAAGCAAAAGCTACAAAAATTGAGGAACATGAGGCGAATGAGGAGCTGTTATTCATGGCCAAGATACCTAAGAGGTCAATAAGCTCTACAGCAGTAGAAGATAAAAGTGTCCTTCAACAACTTGTTGCCTATTTTGACCAAGACAACAATGGAGTTATTTATCCCTGAGAGACTTACAAAGATAAGCATGGGAGTGATTCAGAAACATATGACTTTGAAGGATAGATTTAAATTAATAAGATCCAAACCGGGAGTATTGAAAGATGACCCTGAGGAGGTAAGAGTGTGCAGCGATCGGTTGCAATAACAACCATTGGTTGTTTCAATCGGCCTGGTCAGCCGATCGACTTACTCTTCAAGGGGGGGAAAGAATTGACCGAATAGCCGGCGATTCTTTTTTTTAGAAGGGGGCATAAAGACAAAACTGCCATTCATTAACCCCATAAAGGCTAAAGCAAACCTTCCCGCTTTATTTCCCGACCTAATTCCCCCCCCCCCCCCCCTGTCCTGCTTTTTGCCTCTCCCTGACTCCCTCTCTAACCCCCCAGCCAAGTAGCACCTTTGCGAAGTGGGTTATCTTCCATTCTTCAACTAGTCTTTATCAGTCCATTACTGTCATTGCAAGGTAAACTATAGTCTATAGATTTTATTTTGTTGTTAGTTATTTTGTGAAAATAACAGAGAGAGAAAGCTTGAGAAATTATGAATATTTTTTTTATTCACCTTAAAAAACCAACCGAATCGACTGAACTGAGACTCTTAAAAACCGACCGAAACCGACTTTACATCCTATGCGATTCGGTCGATTATAATGTAAAAATTTTTTTATCGGTTTTACCAAAAACAGAACCGAAACTGACAAAAACCGAGCTATGCACACTCCTATGAGGAGGTGTGTTGGAGTTAGGCCCCGCTTGTAATACTCCTTACTACGAAAAATTATATTTCAACTTGGAAAAGTAGTGTTGTGTGCTAATTACATGTTTTTACTTAGTGGTTATTGGTTTCTTTTACTTGGTGGTTATTTAGTTTTTCATGTTGTTCATGTTTTGGCAATTAATACAAGTGTAAGGGACAGCCCACAAATTTAATAGTGTGACAATCCCAAGTAATGCTATCTATTTTCTTTAATGTTATCCGTTTGTTTTTCAGCATTATCTTTATAAGACTATAAAAATTGTTATATTTGTTAATGAAAGTTTCTTTTGTTTTGCATTCAACAATCTCTTAATCTCTCAAAATTCTAACAGTTTATAGCAGGATCTGAGTGTGCCAATCTTGACTCAATGGCCAACAAGAGAAAAATCAGGCTAAAAGAAAAAGAACACTGGTCGAAAAAGCAAATATATCGTGCAGACTTTGACACCATGATAGCTAATTACTAGACCTTAAAGTTTAAGTTGATAAGCTGAAGACAACCTAACATTATTATATGTCCTAAAATTGAGTTATGCTGTCGGCTGCTCTGCTTTGATGTTTGCAGCAATTTATATGTGCCAACAGATCGTGTAACGTTTTCCTTAAGCAAGCTGCCTAAGCTGGTGGAAGATTAGGTAGGTGAACTTTGGAGACATCGATGTATCATTCGTAAACACATTTTTATTTCAATAAACGATACAAACAATACCATGCTAAGGCAGCATTAAAGAGCAGCATCTACATTAATGAATTTGTAGAATTTCCTTAATGAATTTGTTAAAATTATTGTAAGATGATCCTCCAATATTAGTTGCCTCCTCTGCTTTCTTCTTCCATTCTAAAGCATTGTTTTTCATTTGCTTGCCTTTGTCTCCTTCCATCACTTCCTTCACTAGAGTTGTAACTTCATCACGCTTCACGTCATGGCTAATCTCCATGCCGATTCCCCATAGAGTGCATGAATATAGACAATTTGTCGGCTGTTCGTCAAAGAAAGGCCAACAGATCACAGGCCTGCCTCCACTGATACTTTCCAATGTAGAATTCCATCCACAGTGTGTAAGAAAGGCACCTACTGACGGATGAGTAAGCACCTGATCTTGTGGGCACCACTTCACCATCAATCCTCTGCCCTCAATCTCCTCATAGTACTCTTTAGGCAAGATACCGGAATTCCCCATAACCACGTCAGGCCTTACCACCCATAAAAATGGGACTTTGCTATTTGCGAGCCCCCATGCAAATTCCTTGAAGTGTTGGTCTGACATCACAGTTATGCTGCCAAAGCTTACAAACAAAACAGAGCCAGATTGTCTCTTATCAAGCCATCCGAGACAATTGAAATCCTCCTTCCATAAGCTAGACCTGAGAGACTCAGCTTGGCTGAGGGGCGTCTGCCTTTCCAGCAAGGAAAGGGGGCCTATGGTATAAATGTTAGGGGACTTGGCAGCAATTGCCCCTAGTACTTGATGCTCTAGTTCCTCAAGTGTATTTAGAATGATTGCAGAAGATTTTAAGCAATTTTGTGCTTCTTCACTCATGAAATTTAACATTATATCCCTTGGATCAATGGTTCTGATCAACGTAGGGAAATCCTTAAGGCGCATGTTCCTCATGCCTGGAACTCCGGGGACTGGTGTATCCAGTGTGCCATCTTTGATGAAGTTTTCATCTGAAGACACATCAAAACATAAGTTTTGTTACTAAGCATGGTTTCCAGTTATATATACAAAGATCGATTAAAGTTAGTTGAGGGATGAAGTTCTCGATCCTCATACTCTAAATAGCAAAAGATATTTGGTTATTAAGCAAGGCTTTAGGTCGACTGATTCTTCGTAAATAACAAAAATGTACCTTTAAATGGAACAATGCCTCCTTTGATGAGTTCACTAAAATGCAAATATGCCATGAAACCACAAGCCGAGGTGGTCCAAAATTGAGCTTCAGGTATGCCTAGTTCCTCAGCTGCCTTGATGGTGAAGGTCATGGATCCATCCGAGATAATACAGCTCACTGGAGGAGATCCAGCTGAAGAATTGAGCTTAGCTAGCAGCTCTCTAAATGGACCCAAGCAGTTTTTCTGAACTGAATCAGATAGAGCCCAAATGTCTTGGGTTGCATCACGATCAGATGGCGGCAGCCCATCGGGTATGGTCTCAAACTGAAAATCAGGCAGACCCTTAACAAAGCCTGGCCCTTGGGACCTGACTAGGCGCTTATGGTTAAACTCAGTGTTAACAAAGGTAATGTAGAAGCCTCTTGAGTGTAAAAGCTTGGCCAGCTGCATTAAGGGATTTACGTGGCCTTGTGCGGGGTATGGGACAAAGACTGCATGAGGCTTGTTAAGCGAACCCATCTCTGGAACTTGAATGAATTTGAGTTAGCAATCTTAGGTAGTATTTATAGAAGGGATGCTTTCATCCTAACCGTCTATCATTGTAACTAGGTGACTCAAAACAGATATTTTGATCGAATTTTCAATATTTTTAAAGCAAAAAATCTGCATGAATCTGGATTTCTAGGCTCATGGGAAGTTGGCTCGGGTTCTTTCTGTACTTAAATATGAGAGGTTGTGGCTAGTAGCTGCTTGCTGTTGACATTTAAAATGGAATCCTGACCCGAATGACGCCTGCTTCCAATCGGGCAGTTTAGATTGACTGCATCAGCTACGATCCAATAAAAGAAAGTTTCATCTTTCCTTTCTCATTTACTGCTTTTCTTTCCTTTGGAAACGAGCGGGGGTCATCCAAAACAAGCATTCAATCCTCTAAGTATCTTCTCATGTTCTCGTTTTGACGACAGGGTGAACCAAATGAAATCCGGATTCAATCAGACAAATCAGAATGAAAGGTCAGTTTAGTACAAGACAAAATGCACAGCAACAAACTTCAACTCTCCGAGCCAGCAAGCTAGTCATAAATAAACAACACATATCACCTACCAAATGTTCCTGCCTTAGGGGCACTGCATATAAACCTCTAGGGAATATGCCATTAAGCTTGTCTCCGTTGTTTGACTTGTGTAACAAAGTCGAAGTCGCGCTTTGTAAAAGCCACCAATTGGGGGGTGGGGGTGATAAATTAAACTAAATGCACCTTCCAACGTCTAAGAACTGATATTAATCTATACCTCTCATCTCATTTGATACCCCAAGATACAAGGAAGCTGCTTCAGTCTTGTCAATGGGGATTCCTTCCAACGTTTCTTTGTGTCTGTGACTCTTTTCCTGGCCTGGTTGTTAAAGAACTGGCATCCATCTCGTGTGAAACTAAAGGTTCAGGACTATAATAATGATATTACAAAATCTAGGACGGCATCCTCTATTCCTCTTCGATAGGTAGAAGAATAATGTTTTTCTTGTAGGGAATGGGATTAAAAATAGAATATATATCTGCAAAGGGGCTTACAGTTACATGAAGCAACCTACATCAAGACATGGTAAGGGAATATAAGAAATATTCTGGAATACTAACAGGCGTTATGTACACACACACACACACACACACACATTGGATCTAGTATTCTTTTGAACGTTATCCCTTTCCTTGGCTCATGCATTTTCATCATTCACTTGTGTCTTGGAGATATCAGTATAACATATACCTAAGGATGTCTACGTTCATTCTTTTTAAGGTTTGCAGGCAAAGGAAGACAGTATTACCTGATAACTAATGACAGAACTATTATCATGCATTTGGATGCATTAGATTCATCATTCATTCATCAAAGTTCATCAAAAATAAAACAAAATTGAAGGGTAACATTGTTGCCCAAATTTTAGTTCAATCTCAAAGAATAGCTAATAAAAGACTGCAATCAAATATATAACAAAATCAAAGAGGGATGTATCTCTAATCTTCTTTTCCTCCTTTCACAACCCCTGTTTCCCTTAAAATTTCTTTCTGCGGGACAAACCTATCACAACATAATTATACCTACGACTACAGATTGCCGCTTTCCCCTTTAGCGGTTCAAGCATCTGAGAACTGCCAAATTCTTTTTGGAAGCACTGTAGTTCTGAAGCTGCACACACTAAAAGGTGAATACATATTTCCGGGGCAAATAGCACACAATTGATGTATACCAATGATGCCCTAGCAACTATCTCCTACTGCTTGCTGTCTTGCCCTTGCTTAAGTCAGCAAGCTCCTCGATAAGCTTCCTCTCTTCACTACTCAACCTTTTTGGAATTTCAACTTGTACACGGACCAACTGATCACCCCTCATGTTGCTTTTATTTAGAACAGGGACACCTTTCTTTGCCATTACAAGGGTGGTGTTTGGCTGGGTCCCAGCTGGTATCTTCAAATCAACCATACCATCCACTGTTGGTACCTTGATTGTTGTTCCCAGAATTGCATCTATATAAGACACTTTGCAGGAATACAATATGTTGGTATCATCACGTTTTAGAACAGGATCAGGGATAACTTCAATAACAACAAAGAGATCACCAGGAGACCCACCTCTCCTTCCAGCATTTCCTTCAGACCGGACCCTTAAACGGCTACCAGAGTCCACACCAGCCGGAACTTTCAAACTGATCCTTTTTGTTCTCCTTACTCGCCCATCACCAGAACATGTATTGCATGGGGTAGAAATTTCTCCTGTCCCACCACAGGAAGAGCATGTCATTACCTGCTGGAAGACACCCAATGGAGTCCTTGCAGATGATACAACCTGGCCTTGCCCACCACATGTGCTACATTTGGATGGTTTTGTGCCAGGTTTTGCACCTGACCCGTTACAAGTTCCACAGCTTTCAAGTCTGGTTATCTCAATCTCTTTCTCAACTCCAAAAACTGCTTCCTTAAAATTCAGTACAAGACTGTAATATTCATCCTGACCATCAACTGCTCTATTCCTGGAACTTCGGCCACCCATGCCCATGCCACCCATACCACCCATGCCCTCAAACAGTGACTCAAACAGATCAAAAGGATTGCTAAAATCCTGGCATGGTAAACAAGCCATCAATAACAAGATGTCGAGAAAATCCAAGGCAAATAATCTTGAAATGAATGATCTAGTTCAGCATCAGTCGAATTTAACTTACCCCCATTCCCATACCAGCACCTTTAAGTCCTGCCTCCCCATATTTGTCATATAGAGATCGTTTCTCATCATCTGACAAGACCTAAGCAAACATATTGTGCCTCAAAGATCAGATATCACCACAGGGACTAACACATTTCAGTCATATAAAAGAAACCCCAAATAAGAATAACATTGAACTCTTACCTCATATGCATTGCTAATTTCCTTGAATTTCTGCTCCGCCCCAGGATCTCTGCAGAATCAAATAGAATGATTAGAAAAGAAGAATGGCAAAAAAGCACTACAATTCAAACATATTTGGATTAAAGAAGATATTGTAACTAGCAACACATTATTTCTGAAGACTTCAGAAGACGAAATATTTGAACCGGAGTCAGAATCTGCAACTACTGTTCTATATACTCTCCCATTCAGCAAACATATTTAAAAATATATTGAACACAAACTCAATAAAATATCTAACTCAGGAAATCTAAGACTACTATTTTATTTTCTCTCTTCCAGCTAACAAATTCTCCTAACCATTATTTAAGCTCTCAATTTAGATATAGATGCCATCAATTTTTTTTATTAAACCCCCGCTTAGGGCATAAAATAGATAGACATCCCTTTCGCCACTTTTCAATTGACAGAATGATTAGATAACTCAAAATACTCAAAAGAAGGTCAGAGTGTGCTACATATACAGAAATCTCCAAACCCAATTCCTACAACCTGAGATGACGACATTAAAAGGAAAAAAGATGGGCATTGATCTATCTAAGTTTTTTTTGGCTCAGGCATTGATCTATCTAATTAATATGATTTCTCTGGGAATTCTAACCTGTACTGTTACAGAATTTCCCTAGCAACAGCCTAACCTATATTTTATAACAGCATAAGGAAGATAATTGCTATGATTCAATCAGAATGAGAGATGCTATTTTTCTCTTTATCATTGTGGTCACTTCTGTAGGAAACAGCTTGTACCATCACTGGATCCAAAAATGAAGAAGAAGAAAATGAGGAGAATAAATTAAAGAAAGAAACATTGACAATTCTCAGAGATTAGACACAACACTATGGCCCAAATATTCACACACACAGGGTTTTTCTAAATAAGTTGTATAGGTTAATAATTAGCCATTCCCAGATGTTCATTATTATCTATTTCTTTCTTCTGAGCTTAATTTCCAGTGAGTAGATTCTTGCAACCCCAATCGAGTTCTCGGATTGCATCACACCAAATCCCACCAAAATCCAGATAATTACAAACTTGCTGATGATTTCATCATCTCATGTCTTTTATCTGAATCACATGCAACTAAAATTCAAGTTTCCTAGCATTGCATGTCACATATACATTTACCAGCTGAGGTCAACTAACATAATTTTGTAATGGAATACAGACAACTGTAACAGACAGAACCACAAATAAAAGGCAAGAGGTACAAGATTATCAACTGACTTGTTGACATCCGGATGATAGCTCCGAGCAAGCTTCCGATAAGCTGTAAAACAAAAGATTTTAAAACAGTAAGATAATATTATACAGGAGATAAGAGCAGACCATTGCAATAGAAATAACAAAGTTTACTTTTGTGGTACTTATAACCAAAAGAGAATCTAGTTTTCATCATGATCAATCACTTGTACATGTATGTAAGTTTACAATTCAGCAATTTTGAAGCTCCAATGAAATCAAGACAATCATATTCCATAAAAGTTTCATTTTTCCCCCAGGCAAACAAGCATCAGCCCAGAATTCTCACAAACATTCAATTATCCTAAAGCTTAAAAAGTTCACTTATAAGCCATGACACTCATACTGAATCAATTACATTTGTTATGGCATCAGCATAATGGATGCAAGCCCCATTTATATACATTAATTCTACTATTCATCTGAAATAATGACTAAGCATTATGGAAGACAGGAACATATTATCAGGATTAGCAAACACTGCGATACTCAAAAGGAACTAAATCCCCAAGAGTACTCATCAAATTCATACATACATCCCTTTCATTTGTCAGTTAGCCACTAATATCCATCAATCAACATAATCTAAATTTAAAAGTTTATGGTAAGAGGCATTCCAAAATAAACCTTGGATGATGGGAAAATGTCAAATATATCATACTTACAGGCATCTAAGGAAAAATTTATATAAATGGCTTAAATCGATATCCATCTAGACTAATTGCATCAGTATTTTGTCTAGAACCACCTTGGCAGCATTCTAGTCATATGCATCATAATCCGCTAGAACATTTTTCATTTGTCATCTAACCAACCATGAATTTTCCTTCAAATAG